TTAATTAAAGAATAATAAAATTGGCCGTTATTTAGCAAAATGTCGTTCAGTTTATTAATAATGGTGACAGTTTAATGAACGGGTTGTTGCCCGAGATAGTTTGTGGAGATAGATTCTCCACCTAGTTATCAAATGGCTCCTATCGCTCTGTGTGAGACGTGGGAGAGTGTCAGACTCTTACTGACTAAAAAAGCATATATACAGTCGAATTGAGAACCTCGTCCTTTTTTAGAAGTCGGTTAAAAAACACGTTCTGTTCCATGTTTTGCTTCTGCTCCGAGCCCGGGCCGCGGTGACTTGAAAATGTAGAGACACCTAATTTTTCCCAATTATGTTACGAGTCCCAATTAATAAGGGATGACTCCGAGTTACCACCTATAGAAAAATTTCAAAAATCTTAATAAATTTAAGTTGTGGTCATTTGCATCTAGCATCTAGGTCACAGCCCTTAAAGGGCCACTGCTGATCAAAGGCCTGTTCTCGCACCGAGAAAGTTTGATCATTAATTACCACGTTTGCTCAATGCGGGTTGGCGATTTTAAACTTATAACAAAAACTATTAGTCCAGGTTTCCTCACGATGTATTCCTTCACCATTTGTTAGTGGTGTCTAAATAATCTTAAAAGTATGTACATATCACTCGGAAAAAGTCTCTTTGTGGAGCGTACACGTGAGAATCCCTCACACATGATGTCTTAAACCTCTGGGCCACCCCAACACTAGTTCTGGAATAACATAAATTAATTATCAATGTTATCTCTGTACAGCGGTGCAAAGCAATGAGATAGTTAGCACGATTTGTCAGAACATATTAAATTGTTGAAACCAAACGCAGAAGAACATTTAATTCAGTGATTTATAGAACTTAAGATAAAGACTGTGTCACTTAATTAATTGTTTACATGTAAATATGTTAATTTTGTCATATTTTGCACCAAAGTTTTATATTAAATAATTACTTATTTTTGACCACAACGATGAATTTTATAAAAGATTTTATCAAACACTGAATATTACAACTTTATATTTAACATAACATAATATCACGCCTTTTATTCCCGAAGGGGTAGGCAGAGGTGCACACAGAAGTAACACCCACTTTTCACTATTTATATTTATGTTATGAGTCCCGTGTAATAGGGGGTGAGACTATTGCCATATATCGGGCACATTTCCAGACCCCGTGCTAATACTGAGATTTTTTTTAAAAACGCATTAATGCTTGGCCCAATCCGGGAATCGAACCCGAGACCCTTTGCCCGGCAGTCGCACTTGCGACCATTCGGCCATCGAGGCAGTCAGCAGGCAGCATATTTGTTTATTTAAAATGAGAGTCATCCCGTATTTTAGGGCATAGAATACATGTAATGTAACGTATACAGATGAACAGTCTGCTCGTTTGCCTCCTATTCCATAAAAAAATAAAACAGTTTGCTAGCTAGTAATTGTTATCTGCATCATTATGAGGTGCAAGTAAAATGCTTTTATTTCCTGTATCGTGGGTACGTTTACAAACATACAATTTCACATACACATGACACCCAGACCTTGAACAACAATCAAAGTGGATTACACAAAGAGTTGTTCCTTGTTTATCATAATAAATAAGTAATTCCAAATAGTTGGTATGAACAATATTTTATTTCACACTAGCAAACCCTGCGAACTCCGTTTCGTCACCAGATGGCTATTCCTGAATTTTCTTTGCTATAAACCTCACGGAGCCAGAGACCTTTCCAACAAATGCAAAACTGTGGAAATCGGTTCGTGCATTCTGGAGTTATAGCGTCAGGAAGGAAAACCCGACTTATTTTTATATAATAGATAATATTATGTACAACATTAAAATACATATGACAGCATAGAAAGATAAAGATAAATGCTATAAAAGATAAAATAAATAGGTACAAGTGATATTTAAAATTAGTCAAAGTGATACAAGATTTTATATCTTTTAAATGGCAGGAACAAATTGCATTTGGCCTATAAGTTCATTAATACCTCACCGAGCGCCAGATGATTGAAACACATACATAACATTATGGTCGATGACACTAGAAATAGATAAACTTAGAACTTAGATACTGGTTTACCTAAAGATACGATTACTAATGAAATTAATCACGAAAAAGAGGAACGAAAAAAATGTTATTTACCGGATTATTCTTTATTTCATACTACTAGATGATCTTTGGATTGTATTTTTTTTATAACATAAGCCGGTAAACGAGACGACGGATCACCTGATGGTAAGCAATCGGCGCCGCCCATGGATACTCGAAACACCAAGGCGTTACAAGTGTGTTACCGGCCGTTTGGGAGTTGGGAATTTGAGGATTGTGGAGGATTCAGGGATTCGGGAGACGGGGAGGGAAGTAATTGGGCCTCCGGTAACCTCACTCACACCACGAAACACAACGCAAGCATTGTTTCACGTCGGTTTTCTGTGAGGCCGTGGTATCGCATCGAGCAAGCATGGTGATTGATACTCAAACCTTCTCCGTGTGAGAAAAGGCTTTACTCAGCACTGAGCATTTATAGGCTGTTGATGATAATGATGATGGTGAGGTGAGAAATGAGAGGCCATAAAAATAAAACCCTATTTAGAAAACTTTATTATTAAAAATTAGATTACTCTTGTGACATAGAAGAATATGTTTAGATTAAAAAAATATATAAATTATTTTTAGCTGAGAGCATGAGAAACAAAAAAATAATACAAAAACCTATTTAGAAATTTTTAGTGTCAATAATCAGTTCAGACATTTATAATTGTCTGTGATACAAGGATCCTATAATAATGCAGGATCTTTGTATCTACTAGTACTTAAAGTGGAGTCCGAATATAAAGCTAAACTCCACTTCAGGTTAAAATGTATCACTTTCTGGTACTAAGTAATACGGTAGTTGACTGGTAGTCAAATTTAATACTTTTATTGAAATGTAAAAAACTATACTTTTCTATGAATTTTGTGTTGGATCGCAACCTGTGACGTCATCATATTTCTGCGTCGAATAGCATACTTATTTCCTTAAAATTAGCGAGAAAAAATCCAAAAGCAGGTAAATCGTGAAATCAATAGATGAGAGTATGATTATTTTTTAATTATTAATTGCATTGAAAAGTCGAAACAATTTACTATATTAAACTTAGGAAACTACCCAATTCTTACGAGGTTTCTTTTAATATGACATCTTTTGTTATTATCAATATCATTACAGTTTTGTCTCATTTTTCCTTCATATCTGCTAACCAGGTAATCACAGCAATAAAAAATCTCGTACCTCATTAACCTGGCTAAAAAATAGAACGGCAGAAACAAAAACTCTCCGAATATAACGGGCTGCGGTCCAGACGTGGTCAGCTGGCTCTTGACGTCTTTATTACATGGTGATTGCCTAGTTTGATTGTACAAACAAAGTTTATTGTCTTGTTTAGGAATCACTTTTACAGTTCTTGTAACTACCGTTAAATGGGAGGAACTTTGACCAGGGTCTATGTCAGTTCTAACCAGTCTTTTTTATTCTTTGTGTTTGGCCACTATTTCGCCTGGTGGTAAGCGATGATATGACCTACAATGATGCTCGCCTACCTATTAGTTGGGTATCGTAGTCAAACAGGTATAAGTCCTATTTTATTCTTAAGGGTTAAAGGAATTCGGAGTCGCGGAGAACCTAACGGGTTACCGGGGCTCAGGTACCGGACGTGCAGGAGAAGGACCGGGGTGGTTTTTAGTCAGTAAGAATCTGACACTCCCTCTCGCCTCACCCAGGCGGGAGCAGTCATTCGATGATATTCCCCCCTTAAAAAAAGGGTTAAAGGACATGGACACATGACCAATAATCTTCATAGGTGTTCACATTTATGTATTCGAGTTACAGTTGAAATAAGTGTCCAAAACATGACTCAAAAATCCAACCCAACAGGATAAAATCAAAATATAATCGAAAGCAATTACTACAAACGTAATCTGTCAAAAATGTGATCCACTTTCGAAGTTAAATAATAAGAAGATAAACCGGATCTTTGTACTTAATTACTGACGGAGTGAAACGAGACCAAGTTCATTAACTGTTACTTAACAATCAAGATCAAGGTTAATATTGTAATGTAATCATTTGATCGCCACAGATCATTTCATAACTTCATTAAACAGAGTTTAAATATTGTGTAATATTATGACGAACGATGACCAATCCAAGACCTTGGGTACGACAGTCATAAATGCTATCTATACAAGTAATAATAATAACTAAGAAATCTCTTTAAATGATAAAACTAATTTAATAAATAGGTTACTGAAATTGGCACTCACTTAGGTTAAGTACGAGTAGAAGGCAGATTCAGTTCAGATTATCTAAAAGATTACAACGAAGTGAGTACTGAAACTTATCAATCATTTCGTATGGTACAAAATTAATATCTTTGTGACATTGGTGTTGACCAATGTGACGTTTTCCGAGTTATACTATACTTTCTAATATTATTTAGACGCCACTGACCAATGGTGAAGGAAAACATCGTGGAGAAACCTGGGGTTATAATTTCTAATTATAAATTCAAAATCGCCAACCCATATTGAGCAAGCGTGGTGATTAATGCTCAAACCTTCTGCGTGTGAGAAGAGGCCTTTGGACAGAAGTGGCCACATATAAGCTGTCGATGTGTGATGTATGTGCGTACAAAATAACAGAACAATAAGTCTTTATTGATTGTAATTAAATTCCATAAACCCCAGGAAATTTCTTTGACCAAGAAGAATAGGTTCGTCTGATACATATCACTTCCTATCATCATTTGAATAAAGAATTTCCGGTCGACAAATACAGTATTGTTTACAATTTTATAACGATTGGCTTGCTTCCGTGGGATTTTACCGAATAAAACCTCAATGTCTCGAGTTGTCGAGGCGTGGGGCACGACCTCCAGACCGACCTATAAAGCTGCTCTCGCAAAAAAATAAAACACATTTAACGGAACACACTATAAACAATAAAACATGGTGTACATTCGCGCATTGTTTTTTGCCATCGCACTTGCGGGATGCAGCCCAACTCTAGCCGAAGGTAGTAATTTATCGATACTCTATAATCTGCTTTCTGGGGTCACGATCAATCGATAAAACTTGCAGTTTCGATACCGTTAGATAATTGGCGGTAATTGTCGTTTGCGTAGTAGGTAATTGGGTGGTCTACTTACGTGACATTGGATTAGGGTATGATGAGTCACCAGAACTATGTTCATAACTAAATAACAATCATTTCGCTTTTTTACCTTATAAAGACCATTCTCAGCTTCTTTACAAGTACAAAGTTCTTTACAAGTCCTTCAATTGCTTCTCGTGTGTCATCTTTACTGTATTTGCTTAACGTTTTTGCAAGTTTTGATAGTAACAGTGTATTTTCATTTGGATGTAACTGACACACTTCCTGTGGGAGGTTCTGCCATAAATAAAGGGCGTGTCTATACATAAGCGTTGTACTAGTTTAATCGAATGTTTTATAGAGTAGATGTCGATTTCGGTCGTGCCAAAAAGCCACACCTTAATTTTTTGCATTTTAGCACATCTAAGTGTTACGGTTCGAATATAATTTGAAATTACATTTTAATACCTATCATTTTTCTTTTCCAGATGCTACCAACGTGCAATCTGACAGCTTAGTAAGAGAACCTCGTACTTTACATAAGAAGAAATTGTGCAAAAAGTATGGAATTTGCGAAGGTTTTGGAGGTTACCAGGGGGGTTACCAAGGTTACCATGGATACCAAGGATATCAAGGATACCCTGGTTATCAAGGGCCATACCAGCCACCGATAAACATAGCCATAAGTCAGTCGCAGTCTTCAGCCAACGAGGGCGGTGGTGGTCATGCAAATGGATATTATCCCCACAACTACCAACAAAATGGGTATCCCAACCATGGATATAACCAAGGATATAACCAGGGTTATTATAACAACGGTTATGAAGGTCATGGATACAATGGCTACAGGCCAGGTTATAGCAATGGCAATGGAGGCTACAACGCTCAATTCAATGGAAACTATTACTCTGGTCCTCGTGGAGGAGGCTATGGTTTCCAAGGTTTTGGATTCAGAGGCGACGGGTATGATGGTGAAGATTACGATTATCAGGACAACTTTGGATTCGCTCGGTCCAATGCTGGTGCCAGCGCTAGTGCCACTGCTGTCGCTGAGAGTAAAACTGAATGATTAACTGTAGTTTATAGTGTGTTAAGACGAATAGGTTAGGTTTTATTTAATGTCTTTTGTTTTGAAATGTTTCACTGGATACCTTTATTGTTTTACTCTTTGTATTTTTATATAAATGGAGTACCTATTTAATTTTATGTACATACATCAAGTGAGAAACTGTGATAACCGTTTTAATGTGTTAGGGTAGTGAATTAAGTGTGATCTTGCTCGAAATGAAATTTGTAAATATGTTTAAAATATTGTACAGAAATAACGAATCCAATAAATAATGTTTTTATGATTTACCGAAAGCTCTTTATTTTATTTTGATTAAAATCTTTTATGGATAAATTTGACGACTACTTTATGATAATCAATATGAGATCTCTAAGTCCATATAAAGGCTTTTATTGATAAATGGTTCACATCCTCTATAAAATTAGGAATGTTTTATGATAATGTATAATTTTTAGATCATTTGCCTGTTCCATCAGGTCTCTGACCTAAGACTGAAGTAATAATCTCTCGAAAGGATGCAGCAAACGAAATTATTGATTTGTGGGCATCATTAACTTTTATTGCTATTGAGACTACATCGATGCATTTTTCATGCGATACTTTAACTCATAGTATCGACATTTTAATGAGTTTATTAGGAGCAAAAATATTATGACTATACGTTTTAATTGGAAAAAAACCGTAACTGATCGCCTGAATATAAATTTTAGTTAATTCTAGAATACGTTATTAAATGGTCCTCAAAATAGTTTTTACCATAACAACGCTTTCTGGATCTTCGTAAACCATCTAGAAAACAGAGCACTTACCCTACAATGTTTAAAGTGAACGACGTTACCTGTAAATAAGACAATGTATTGTATGATATTAGTATCACTATATTAGTACTTAGAACTCACTGAATATTTTGGAAAAGAGTGAACATTTTTATCATTTTATTCTTGTGAGGAAAGGCCGTTTCTCAGTTGTGTCATTCGGCTATCGAATGTTTAGTGCATGGAAAATAACTATAGGTACTTATGAGTATCTCAAACTGTCCCTTTCTGAAATTTTGTTCTATAGGTATATCTGCTGCCTCATTGGCCGAGTGGTCGCAAGTGCGACTGCCGGGCAAGGGGTCTCGGGTTCGATTCCCGGGTCGGGCAAAGTATCACTGGGTTTTTATAAATCTCAGTAGTAGCACGGAGTCTGGAAAAATGTGCCCGGTATATGGCAATAGGCTCACCCCCTATTACATGGGGCTCATAACATAAATAGTGAAAAGTGGGTGTTACATTGTACAGTGGCATTAAGTGCCGAAATGTGCACCTCTGCCTACCTCTTCGGGGATAAAAAGACGTGATGTTATGTATATATGTATATCTGAGTAAGCCTATTTAAAATATTTACTCTATGAAAACCAGTTCCTTACGAATGTGAAATCCTTTTTAGTTAACGTGCCAATAAGAATTTCCTTCAGGAGAATTATTTAAAAATCTATTGACATTAGTGTCTCATTTATTGACACCGGTATCATCAAATAAAAAACTTGATTAACAGACGAAATCTTTTCATCGATTTCTTTATTAATTAACACAAATTGTGACATTTATGTTTCGAGCCATTATGTCCACCACTTTGAAGATTTAATTAGAAATGATATAATGCTTTCCGTCGTCCACTCGAATTAGAAAATATTTTAATTAAGGATCCTTTTTAGTTTTTTTTTTAAATCAACTGAATTCGTTTTATTGCTCCCAATTAATCAGTTGTCTTATCAATTTAGAGATGATACCCGCACAATTTATGGTATCGGATCACCTGTACCCATCAAAACTGTTTACCGTAACTCGTTAGATAAATTTTGTTTATGAGTGTCAATGGCTTTGGGTGTAGTGGTGACCCAGTCAGATTTGAGTGGGGGGGCTCATGTGTCTAGTATATAAGCTGAGGGGAATGTTTCACAACTATCCACAACCACCTGAGGAAAGGTCTAGACATCCTTGGAAAAGAAAGTAAAGATGGCCGCTAAATTCATCGTCCTTGCTACCATCCTTGCTGCTTGCAATGCATTGCCAGTCTGGTACAATGGTAAGTGGCTGATGTAATCATAATTCAACTTGGATTAGATAATACTAATTTCTTTGACAATGTCAGGTTCAGTAAACAAAATAACTATCCTAATTACATTTTGTGACAATAATTTAACTTCAGCTCATCAATTAGTGTTTGAATCAATTATAATTTGGTTTGCTTTAGAAATTCATTTTGTATTGTTATATCTTCCAGGTGTCCCAGCTGTGGTCATGAGGATCGGTCGCTCTCCAAGCATCTCCTACGGCTTCGGCAGCGGCTTCAGCAGCAACATCGGTGGCATCTCCCACTCCACTGGCATCGGTGCCTCGTTCCAGTCTGGAGAGGGTGAAGCTTACGGTGCGGGCATTGGATCTTCCAACGGTGGTTATGCTCGTGGTGTAGGAATTGCCAGCGCTGGCAACAGTCACCCAGTACAGTACCAAGCACCTCACCACCACGTATACCAAGCACCTCAACCAGCTTACGAGTCCGCAGTCGCCTCTGCTCAGAACTTCGGCGGCTACGGAAACGCTGTGTCTTCTGCTCAGTCTCTTGGTGGCAACAACTTCGGATCTGCCGTCTCCTCTGCCCAGAGTGGTGGCCACGCTCGCTTCAACAGTGCCGTCTCTTCTGCTCAGAACGTGCATGGATACGGATCAGCTCTTTCTTCAGCTAACAGTGGTTATGGATCAGCTCTGTCTTCAGCTCACAACTCTGGCTTCGGATCCTCAGTATCTTCTGCCCAGACCAGGGGTCATGGTTACGGTTCAGCCGTGTCTGCTGCTGAGAACATTGGAGGATACGGTGCCAGCACTGCCCAGGTTGCCCAGCAGCGCTCTGGTGGTATCCAGCACAGTGGTGCGACCAGCATCAACGCTCCTGGTCTCCAGGCTGCTCACTCCCACGCTGTCAACTCTGGATTCTTCTGAAGTGTTCTCTAGGATATAAAAAGATGTTGAGACGACGAAAAAAACTTGTCTCAACATCTTTGAAAATATTGTGATTAGCTTTAAGTGAAAAAATCAATAAAGACCGTGATTTTTAAATTGTGTTTATTACTGAAACATATTCTTAACTTAATTAATATGAAACTTATCGTTAAATAATTGACAAATCAGTATTAGATAGTTCTAACAAATACAGACGCACTTAAAAGCTTCTGTAACCTCCTTTGTTCTCAGAGATGGCATTGTTCTTCATGTTCTTATCAAAAGATGATACAACTTTATCTGAATTGTCCGGTTTCTTTACCATACTATTAAAATTATCAGTGCTTTTTTCTCTATTATCGAACGTGACTTTGTTTACATTACCGTAAATGTGACCATTATCGTTGATTGCTGTTGCAGTATTTACTTGGCCGTTGCCAGCAAAATGTGGGTTGTAGAAGTTTTCAACGTTTCGAACCCAGTCTTTGAGGTCAAAGTTGTTAAATCCGAAGCCCTCGGGAGCTACGGGAAATGCGAAGAGTGGGACAAAAGGTCCAGTAGACGCTGATGCGAAGCTTCTCCCTGCTCCTGCTACAGCCTTGCCGGGTACAGCGATACTGAAGCTTGAATGTACACCTTGTCCATTAGGTCCATTGTTGTATGGACGATTTTGTTCCTCAGGATGCAGTTGTGTGAAACCAGATCTCGTTGCAAATTGTTCAGTAAAATATTTCTCTACGTTGGGATCGGAAGATGATATCGCGACTATGGCTTCTCCATTAGGTGTTGACTCTGTAACAATAATTAATTTTGTGTCATCTTCTACAGAAATGTGGAACACGTGTACCTCAAACACATCAGTAAAAGACATCTAGCATTGTTGTAAAGATACAAATTCCAAAAATATTATGTGAGAATAGCTACACTATGACTTAAAATAAAGAGGAAATTGAACAATTGATCAAAGTGCTTACAGTTATGAATTTCTCCATACATAATTACTAAACATCATAATAACAAAAGGAACTTACCTTTAAAAACCACAGGGACAGCTTCCACCGAAAGAAAAACAGACAAAACAGAGAACAACGCCTTTATAACAAACATTATATCTTTCAATAGTAATTCGTAGTTAAATTCAATAAAAGAATAAGTGCTGAGATCACAATGAACCGTTTATATAGGATGCTATGGGTCGAACGATGGTTTATTATATACATTGAAAGGTGAATGAACTATCTTACTAACTCAAACGTGATTTAGAAATGTTTGGAGATTAATATCATCTGTTGGTACTAAATCATGGCTTGACTTTAGACAATGTAGTCGGATATCGCAAAGGAATTACAAGTTCAATGGTATTTGTTGCAAGGCGGGTTTTGAATGGTTTGACGGATAACGGCTAATGCATTTCTAGTTCTTAAATCATATCTGATTTGTGATCAGAGATAAAGACGCATTTTAGTGGCGTATCTGTTTCTAGAAAAATAAAATTAAATTAAATCTCAAGTTTGGCATAAAGAAAAAAGTTTGCTACTACGACATATTATAAAGAACTAGCTACTTCTGCGCGGTTTCACACGCTCTGCACAGCTCCTATTGGTCGTAGCGTGATGTTTTATAGCCTATAGCCATCCTCGATTAATGCGCAAAAAGAATTATTAAGAATTATCAGACTTGTAGTTACGGAGATTAGCGCGTTCAAACAAACAAACAAAAAAATAAACTTTCCGCTTTATATAATAGTATAAGATAATTAACGAGTACGTATTTCATGCTGATGAAATAGTCTGAGGGCTAATACCTGCCCTTTTAAATAAGTAATCATATTTCCTTAAGGCACAACAATTGCGCTAACGATCACGGAAGCAACCAATATTGAAAGTGTCCTGTGTCTATGGGCGGCGCCAATTCTTTACTATCATCTGATATCTAATCGTGCTCGTTTTTCGCCCTATCTGTTGAAAAAATATACCTAATATATAGTTTTTTCAATCCCCTATATGGCAAAGGCGCACCAACCACTTACTATGACTTTACCAGCTGAGCTCACTGCGTCATTTACGAGTCCCATGTAATAAACTATAGACCAATTACCATCACGGACATCATTTTTCAATAAATCTAAAAGACTCGTCTGACCTAGGACTCGAACCCGAGACCACTTAGCACTTGCGACCTCACGACCAATGAGACAATCTGATCTAAATTCTATAGAGAATAAAAAGTATGATATATGCTGTTTAATATTGATCACAGAATTTCGGAAAACTAAATAATACGTGACAGGCTTTTACGCGAGGTTAAAAAATGATTCAGCTGAACATAAATTAGGTTTTAGTGCTCAAGTCTTTTAGCGTTAGGATACTATGTATATAAATAAAATAAAGCCTGGGTCAACGTCTCTTATGATACTGTTTGTAAATAAATCAATGAAGAAAAATGTCAAGGTTTTAACATTATGAATCCCATGACTCATATTGATTGAGATAAAAAAATAATCAACTTCATTGAAACAGTTGGAAGTTTTCTTTCCCAAATTTTTGGAGAGATTTGGTCTTAAATACGGGGTTTGATATTATGTTTGAACTTAAGGCCCAATTACCCTCCCCTTTCCCAATCTCCCCAATTCCTGAATCCCCAACGATCCTCAAACTCCTAATCCCCAAAAAGCCGGTAACGCACTTGTAACGCCTCTGGTGTTCCAAGTGTCCATGGGGGACGCCGATTGCTTACCATCAGGTGAACCGCCTGCTCGTTTACCGGCTTATGCCATAAAAAAAGTCTGGTTTTGAGGATCGAACCTCATACTTTCGAAAATTATGTTTTCTCAATTTAATAGATTTTTAAAGTCGTTTCATATCAACAGGGCCATCATATGATCAAATTTCAGGTAACCGTACCGAAGATAACATACATAATTTAATGCAGATATCTTTATTATGATTAAATTGTGCTTTAAATATGTGTAAAGCGGGTCTCAGTAATAAAATTTAATGACCGAACAGCGGTCAAGCTATTCGTTTTGTAGCGTCAAGCAGTCTACAGATATTTTAAAAATAAGTTGATATGAAATCCATCCAATCTGTTTTTGTTTATTTATTATGTTCATCAACAATAACATTTTTTATTTACTATTTCTAAGCACATTATGAAACGAAAAAATGTTTTAATAATGTGGATCACTCACGGGACAGAAAAAAACAAATAACTGTTCTTTTTTTGATTTTTTTTTTGGTCCTGATGTTTACATGAATAAGAATGTTTGTGTTTATATTTATTAAATGCAACCTAAACTCGTATTAAAAAAAATATATTTCAGCAAATGTGAATGTTAATCAGAAGCTTACAAATGTTGTAGCGTGTGTCCTAGCGGCATTCTTTGGTACTACTTAAGTAAATAGAAAGTTTCCAAGTAACAATGTAAAGTAGCGATCAACTTACCTCACTTCTTACGTACTTCTAATATGAAAAGACAGATGTCGTTAGCTGTACAAACATAAAAGGAGACGCAGATTTTTTAAAACAGAATAATATTTTGTTACAATTTGAATACTAAGTGGAATTTAATATTTTTTTTCTATTATATTAAAGTTTTATTGGTGAAACAAATTATTGAGGGTTAATATATGAATTGATTTGAATATGAACATGTTTACCTTTTGTATGGAACTTATATGGAGCTTAAACAAAAAAGACTATCAACTAGAGACTTGGGTATTTACGTACTTATTTGTCTTTTCCTCGTCCGGATATTTTTAATTCAATAATTTTTCACTGCTAATTAAGACACAAAGAGACCGTGGAGTTCTCAATCGGTATCAGTTCAAAAATACACGGTAGGCCAGTCTCATAAGTAAATGAAGCATCGATTACTTTGTTAACGAAGAAGAATTATAGGTGGCGTAAACGTTAGCTGATAACTGTACCGCCCACCGTACATACAGATGGTGGTAACAAATGAGGCTGCCACAATCTCTAATGGATTAATAAGTAGACAAATGTATTCAACAAGATTAAGAAGACCCGTTATCTTAAATCATGATACTACAAAAAAATCCATAGATTACATCTGAAACGGTGTAAATTTAGATTTATATGATAGCAAATTATCGCTTGAAGTAATTACTTGAGGCGTAACTACGGATTGCTTTGAAGGCATTTACCATAAATCTAAACGAGTTCCTGTTCGTCTAGGATACTGTTTAAAAAGAAATTGATGGCGCGAGAAGCATTTTAATATGTATCTTTGGGTATGTATATATCAATATGTTAAAAGTTAGACAAATGATTTTAAAAACAAGACATCTTAAACATATGGGTGTTATAATATAATATATCGGAAGATCAGTTTGTCACTTTTCAAACGGCATCTTAATCTTTAAACACTAAAGAGTAAAAATCATTGAAAAATCTATATTAAAAATAATTACCAATACAGAAGAGACAGCTAAAAAGTGTTTTGGCAATAACTAATTAATTATTTTCTATGACGACTTAAAAATATTCATGATGACTCATTTTTGCTGCTATATTTAAGGCAAAACACGGTATAAATTCAACGATTAAGACTGCACGCAATTCAAACACGATCAAAAAGACAACACGCTCAGATGTGTCGCTTTTTACGCCATTTTAAAAAGAAAACATTAAAATTCTCGTTGAGATAAAAGTTGATATTAACACTCATAATAGATATATCAAAAGAGAAAGATTTTTGCTCTAGAATACTCGAATGAAGTCATTGCTTATGTGTAGGTGGTATGTGTCACCATAAAATTATGACTAAGTAGACACAAATATAAAAGAAAGCATTAGGTCGCAACTGTAAAATGTAACACAAATATCGTAAATTATTTATATTGTTCACCAAAGAATTTAATGGGCGATTTTAATTAAACAAGTGGGCAGAACGATTTGTTTATCAATCAATCAAAATGTCCGTTAGATGTGAGATCTATTAAAGGTATATTAGTTTTTTACGGTACTCATGTAATGAT